ATGCGTTAGATAGTTATGCAAAAAAAGTGACAGCTGACTCTTCTTTTTTGTGTAGCGATGTAAATTTTTTAAAATAGAAGCTTAAAAACAGAATACCAGCTGTTGAAAGTCAATACAAGTTGTCTTCAATTTAGATGAAAAAAATTGTCTCTCACAAATTTTTAAATCAGTATGACTTAGTGCTATGGTAACAAGCTTTAACACCAAGCTTTTTGAAATAATAACTTTCACATGCTCTCTGAACCAGTTCAAACTGGATAAATACCTTGCTCATATCACCCTCAAGTGCATTTATGAACTTAAATGCACTTGTGGTAGCAGGTACATTAAAAGGACCACTGCATAGAGAAGAAGGGTGTAGTCATCTCTCACTCCCTTAGTGACTATAATTTGGCTTTATTTTAACTTAATTACTTAATTCTTTATTGTACTAACCTATTGTTGTCTAGCAATAGTTGTTCCTTTCTTGCTTTTCTTACCCGTTAGTATAGTTAAAACTCTTACATATTATACAGATTACTAATGATTTTGCTGTGAAACTTAATATTGTTGTTTTCCCAAATTAAACTGTCTTACGTCCTTATAACCATTGTGCTTTTAGACTACGTGCACCTAAGGAGTATTAGTCAAATAAAATGACAATATAAGTTTATTCTGCAAATTTCGTCCTTATTACTTTATCCATATTTATCAAAGGATCCAAATGCATGAAATAGCCTTGACATTTCAACTAATTTAGTCATCGAGTCGAAAGTGTTAATAGAAGTTCTAATATACAACAGTGTCGAATCATTCAAATTGTTGGCCATATGATAAAGCTAATCGATAAGCTGCAATAAGCATTTATAACTAACAAACTAAATTGGTCCGCATGTGATGACTGATTAGCATGTATATGTGAGAACAAGGCTTTCTTTAAGCTTTAAAGGATTATTCAAATGAAGCCAATTAAACTGCTAGTGAAAAAAAGACTGTTTATGATCTATCTTGATTTGAATAAAAATTCTTGTTGTCCCGTTTGCATGTTGTAGAAAATATTTTTAGCGCTAGATATTGTGTTTAATTCGTAGCTAAGGGTACTCTGTCACAAGTGAAATTAATTTCACAGCTACGAACATCGTCATTTAATGTTGACTTACTACTTATAAATCAATAAGTCATGATATATACATATACTGGGCGATGATTGAAGGTGAAATGGAAATTTGGGCCGCTGTCGAATTCGAATCAGCAGCCACTGGGTTTCCCGCCCGATGGTCTACCAATTAAGCCACCAGGTCCGACTGCTAGCCAGGTTTTTATTTCACTTCAATTACCAAGTATAAAATACTAGTCTGCCAAACTAAGGCCATCTCAGATAGTCAAATGATTATATATATATATATATATATATATATATATATATATATATATATATATATATATATATATGTAATCTGAGGAAAGTTAGATGAACGCTATCTTCCTGACATAATACATTGTTGAGTACACTTTAGCGAAGTGGAATACTCACCCTCTGCATAAGTACCTGCACACACTTCTCAACAGTCTAGAAACTTAATACACTCCATAATAATTTGTTCCTAAATTTTTAGCTATAACCAGTAATCAATCCTTTTAATCACTACGTATATAAGGTTGCATTCATCACAGACTGACAAAAGTTGGGGAACCACTAAAAACCTGAAAGTACTGGACACCTGTTTCGCCCAAGTATTGGACTCCGCTAGTGTGCACCCACGATCCCACCAAGGATCGGACTCAAAACCTCCAGATGCCACTTGGTTTAATGGTCCCCAGTTTTCTACTTCTGTCAGCTCCTGGATTCCCCTGCTATCCCCAACCAAGTAAATTATCATAATAAATATTCAGGTAATATTAAAGCATTTGCATAGGAGCTCATATGCCAACAAAGGTCGAGCAATTCGATTTAGTAAATCAACGCAGAACTACAAGCTTATCAATAAATATCAATAACTAACGCCCATTATACAAAAGGCCACTGCCGTGCCTCAGTGGTCTAGTAGTAACGCCTTAGCTTTTGGAACGATGAGTACGAGGTTCGAGTCTCAGTGGAATCATCACTCATGGAGATGTGGATAAATCCAGCTGACGATTCTTAAATAAGAGGAACGAGCATCCTGGATTCCTCTGCTAGCCGCAGACGAGCATATTGCCATAATCAATATTCAGGCAATACATGGAGATCCGCATAGGAGCCTATACGCCAATGGAGATCGAACGATGGGATATTACAAGCATATCAACAAATCGAAACAACTGACTGTTATGATTTCCTTGCTTTAACAGTAATCTAGTAACATGGAAGCTGATAATTCTCCCCCCCCCCCCCTAAATTGGTAAGAAAGATTTTCCATCTAAAGTATTGCAAGATTATATTCCTTACAGCTAGTCTGTTAACAAGCAGATTTTCATTTACTATGCGCTCAGAAGAAAGACAACATTCTGTGTGCTTACTTGTCGAAAAGTGGGAAACAACGTTGAAATTTACTGCTGAATCCTCAGTAAGCATACACATTTATCGATTAGTCTTACTTTCTTTCACCTACTCATACCGACACAAAAGTAATTCGATAAATATCTGCGTCTTATCAAACAGATAGATGTGAAATAGGTGATTGTTGTTTCAAGGACTTTGTTCTAAACTATAAAGCATTCTTGATGAATAAGGACTTATAATACTACTGAAATACTCCAGAAGAAGTAGATAAGTCTAGACGAAGCAATAAGGACGAAGTTTGCAGGATAAAATGGTATTTTATTTCAGAACTAAGCCTCAGCTGCATACAGTCTAAAAGTACAATGGTTATTATTAGTATCAGCTATATAAACAGATTGATGAGTTCACCTTTAGGACCTATTCTAGTAGATATCTACATGGACTATCTCAAACAGACGCGCCTGAATTTAGTCATCATAGGAATGACCTATTGCTGCAGGTACGTTGACGGCATCTTTTTTGTCCGTGATAGTATGAAACACGCAAGTGAGCTGTTTGACAGCCTCAAAGAGATTCATCCTAACATTAAATTTAAGATGGAATGTGAGCATGAAAAACCAGTTCAGTTTCTTGGAAGTCGAAGTGAGAAGGAAAACTGATGGTATGATTGGAAAGATGATCCATTGGAAAGACACATGGACCGGACAATACCTGAACTACAAGTTCTGTCCTATCTGCTTCAAGTGCAGGGTAGTCAAAACCCTTTACAACAGAACTAGGAAATTATGTTCTGCGAACAAGTTAGAGGAAGAACTAAACTTTATTGGGAAGTGTCTGTGAGAGAAAGGATATCCTAAGAGGTTTATTATGAAGTATGGAAAAGAAGAGATTGAAAGAAATAAACACTCAACTGTAGAAAAGAAGGCTTTTATGTACCTTATATTCAGGGGACATAGAGTATCCAAGTCAACAGACCCAAGAAACAAAGGAGCACTGGGAAGGAACTTTCTTGTAGCTAGACTTGTATCAGTATATAATAACATATGCTCACTGAGCCGGTAAAAGCTGAATAATTACCTTGCTCATGTCACCTCCAGCTGCTTTATGAATTCACATGCACTGATGGCAGCGAAAACATTAAAAGAACTGATAGGATGGTGTCCATTCGGTTTGCTGACCACATCCTCAAGGACTAATGCTCGAAAGGAAGTTGAATTCTAATCAGTGCAATCGCTAAACAAGTAGACACAAGACATCAGGTTGAAACCTCCAGCGATTACAAGATAATCAGGTTACAGAAAATGTCCGGAGTATCAAGGTTCGTGGAAACGACTGCAATAAAACACTTTCAACCTGGCCTATGCAAACACAAGAAGAGTGTGGTTAGTCCATCATTCTCTTGATGAGTATGATTTCATCTGTTACGTCTTCACTTTAATTACATAACTCCTCATTTATTGTTATTATTTTTTCTCTCTTATGTTTCTAACCTCTTCACAACTAATTCTCTTACACGTTGGACAACTTGAGGTTATTAATTTCCTGATTTTGAAACATCTTATGTCCTAACAACCATTGCACTTTTAGACCGTATGCAGCTGAAAAGTTTTGGTTAAACGAAATGATAAGTTTATTCTTCAAATTCCTCCCTTATCGATTTATCTAAATTTATCAAGGAATTTGAATGCATAAAGATAAAGTAGACTTTGACGTTTGATCAAATAGACTATGGGAACAAATCTTAGGCAAATTCGTGCGGTAAGAAATAAGTTAAATTTATTCTTTAATGGCTAATGATACGACTTGGTTGTCAAAACTGCCGCAGATGGAGTAGGCCTCAATCCTGTGACCCACTTGTTGAGAGTTAACTGCTTAGACCTTTGAGCAACAGCTCCACTCAAATGGTTCGTAGTCCGTTGTATAGACTAATGTTCAGTAGCTTCAGTGTCGAATACCATGCATGAGGTTGGGTACCTAATAAGCACACCGTACACCATCGGTTATCAGGCAGTATATACATATAATTTTCATGAAAATGAAAACAGACTGGAGTTTACCAAAAGCAAATGTTAGTCGAAAACAGGACGTGGTTTGGTACTCTTCAGAGTTGGCGTAATGAGCTTCTATACCTTTGGTTTAAGACGCAGCATTTTAGTTCAATGGAGACATCCCAAGAGATTTTGTTCCATAGAATTGATGTCACCCAATATTAGGTGACTGTCCGCAATTCCTTAAGCTCACGCACACAGCACGTGAATGCAAATCCGTTTAGTGTTGCAGTATAAGCAGATTTTCTATATCGACATGACGACCAAAGATATCAAGTCTGATGATAATTAGATACATTGAAAGTTCTGTTAACTCAGGTTTGTCTACTTTTTCAATCTTTAAACTACTTGCTTATATGGTTGAACAACTGATGAGTGCTTCTGACGTAATACCACTGGGTTTTCCAGTTTAGCAAAAATAAACTGTAACTATTCAACAAAACCTACTAACATTTATGAATAAAAACTGTCTAAATTTCTCTCTGACTCACTCTCAGTACTTTCATGAATTTCTGAACCAGTTTGTAAAGTAGTCCCCATTGTTGTTGGCATTGAGGCTGTTGTCGTTGCTGATTCCGATATTGTCGTTGTTGTCATCATGGGTGCTGTTGATGTTATGGCTGGTGAATGAATCCCTTGAACTATTTCCCGATTAATATTACAATTATTATTATTGTCCAAAATTAATCCATATGGGGTAGTTAGCTTTCCAGACCGACCACTATTCATATGTTTCATTTGCTTACGCATGACTAAATCATTTCCATATGAACCAGCACTGATGTGAACATCAGCAACAGTGGTAGGCTGAGATGATGATGATGGCTGGTGTGAATCATATGATATACCAAGGATATTTCCTATGCCTGACGTAGGTTTTTGATTGGACAATAGTTTTTGACCGGATTTCTCATTCGTTCGTAGTTGTTCATTCACATTCAACGATTTATGTCGACATGCGATTATTTTCCTCTCCTGTCCTTTATTTTTAATTGAATATGCTGGTTTACCATTGACAATAGACGACAGAATATTGCTACTATAGTCCTGAATTGTTGGCATGTTGGAATGTTGTTTCTGTGGCCGGTGTTGTTTGTATTGCTTCATTTCTTTCTTCTGTTCAGCTGTTTACTTTCTAAATTGGACAATCAATCAAATTTGAAAAATTGTGTTTACTTTGTCTATTTTCTGCAATAGTTATGATGATGACACGGAAACAACAATTAAAGAACGAGTGTGTTATGTATGCATATGGTCACATGACATTCGGCAAGTTAGTTCGTGCTGAAAAAACTGAATAGTAATTTTCCTAAACAACTCTACACATATACACACGTACAGATTAGCTGCACTACCAAAAGGTAGGCGTGGAGGAAGATCTCATAGGTTATTGGATGGAGGACATTTTAGTTTACTGAGAAGTGTGTCTGTATGTCTTTTGTTCAGTATATTGTGAGCCACTGTGTACATGCGTTGACGTCGATGCGTACATGTGTATATGTTATAACAACAGGATAATAATTGGAAATAACAAGAAAAGCAGGGAATATTAGTCAGACACGAATGCTAGTAAGCAGAACGATATAAATTGAAATACGAATGAACAAATATGCAGATGACACGAGTAGAATAGCAAGTGATACCCTAGTGATTGGAATTTGATGATTTTGTTTTGTCTACTTCCACAAACTATTTGAAGCACATGCCAGCAGATTAAATCCAGTACCAATTGACAAACATTTCAATTCGGAGGTTTGTGGGAATTTGTTTATTAATTTCATGTTGGTATTCATCATAGATTGACATCAGTTGAAGAAACATTGAGAACCTTGATGGCATTGGATGGATGTTGTGCTATATCGTGAGGTGACAAAAGTAGGAAATATGAACCATTGGATTCCGACCTAGTGGCTCAATCGTAACGTGCCGGCCGCAGAACCAGGTTCTAGGTCCGATTCCTGGAGGGCGAATTCATGGATGAGCACTGCTGAGGAGTCCCACACTAGGATGAAACAGCTGCCCTGTGACTCCGGATTTCCAGTGATTATCCAACTGTCACCAGTCCATGATGAATACGAACCTGAAATTGACCAATGTTTGTGAATAAACAATAAAACGATCGCGATTACAAATATATATCCGTTTTCCTGTTTGAATAAGGTGGGATTTCAGTTGTTATTAAAACAGTATGATGTTGGTGGAGTAAGATAATTATTTCAAAGGTCCGGTATTAGTCACAAGAAAAAACACTGGAAACCTGGGAGCAATAGAAAACTATTTTGAACTAGTTTGGAAGTCTTCAACTGTGAGTACTTGCGATCCATCTATCACTACAAGGATTGAAGGCCGCAGGTTCGAGAACTGATGGGTTCATAAGTGTGTAACACTGTGGAGCCTAAAACTAGGAAATAACAGATATTTACTACTCCCAGGTTTTCAGTGGTCATTTGGCTGATGTCACTCCACGATTAATACCCCTCTGAAATCAATCAACTTCCTATATTAACTCGAAATCGAACTAAATACTCTTATAGTGATAACTAGAAAACGTGGTCAAAGCAAATAGTGATTTTTGGCAATTTCTCCTCAAGTATACGAATTAGAAGGATAACGGTGGTGATAATAATAGTCGTAAAATCATCTCTATAAAGTTGTCAGCCCTTGTGCAGGCATGAGTGGATTTGGCACGTGTTTAGAAACAGGTAGAGAGAAACAAAACAGTGTCTCACAACAGTTAGATAATAATATGCTCAAATTCTTAGTACAGTAACAGATTCATGGCAAGATATCAAATCATGAGAGCACAAAGTGAGATAATATTTACATTTATTCAGTCTGACCAGGAAAGAAAATTGTATCAGTTGTATCGATTCGATTCGAAGGTAACGGCGATGAAAGGTGAAAGGACTGAGCGAACTGTGATTGCTATGGCCTCTGCTATGCTCAATAATCGGAGGTGCAAGAAATTGTGGTGACACATTGTTTAGAATGGTGAAGACTGATGTTTTATCAGTCTAGTGGTCAGTATCAATTAGGTGTGCAAAATAATGAGCTTTTGACGGATTTTCCTGTTCCTTTTCTGAACCAAGCTGGATAGTGTACCAGATCGAGGCTTAAAACTTGAAACAATGTGATGACACTTCGTAGACGCCCATTCCTATACTATGCCTTCATTTTAATTTCATACTTTCCCCTATGTTTCATAATTGATTAAGAACTAAAACACTTTATCACCTAGTTGCTACACAACAATTGACCCCCATGCAAAGCTGAGGCCCATTCACCCAGACACTTAAATCCCAACCTATGGGTCACGCGTTCTAACCCCGCCGCCAGGTAATATAACTATCCCTCAAACAAACAGATGTGGCTCATCGTTTACTACATGGACGTGCACCTGGTTTCTGACTGCATTTCAATTTCATATCCCTATGTAGGCACACAATCTACTCATAAACCCATAAGGACTGACTACTAAAATTATATAAAGTCTCGCACAATTTTTTTGTTATCGACTTTATTCTAAGTACAAAATTTGGGCAGTGTGGTAGGGTTAAGTTCCATGAAACCGTCGATAGCATTAAGTCGATGCCTTGTTGGTGGAAGAATATGGTGGGTTCACATCTCTGAGAGGATATCAGTCCTCTGGGGGTTGTAGAGACGCCCCACTAAAGAGTAGTAACAAGTGGGAAACCTTTAATAAGTGGAGCCTGCTACCAGCTGTCTGCCACCACTTCACTTAGTTTCATTGTTTTCAAATATTGCAGTATCAAAATCTCTAGAAGAGTCAAACAAGAATAAGTATCTAACAATTATCTTTGAATATTCATTTCAATCAAAATTTCCATCGCTGTATACTGTTGCAGTAGTCTTACAATCTTCTTTACTCTACAAAAATAAGTCATACTGAACGTCTCTCCAGGCAATAGGTAAACTGAACTGATTGTTCATCATGTTTAAAGCTTAAATTCCGAGGAAATCGAGACAGATAAAGACCGTGTTTTTATTTTCTGAAGAAATGGAATTCATAATTTCGTTTGCTGCTTATATATTTTTATTTATTCAGCACCAGTAGATAGCCCATTTAGTTGTTTAATTTCTTGTGCTTAACACTGATAGAGGTCTATTGATCAAGTTATGCAATTAAGTCACTAACCGAAGTGACATGGCACCCGCGTACCTTATATTTTGGTACTAGATTGTGAGAGTGTCTAGTCACTTAGATGAGGGACACATTGCAAAAATAAATCAATAGCCTCCGATCAGTGTTAAGCGCTTTGAAGTAGTTAACCACTCCGCTTACCTGTCGATCACCAATCTGTGTACATAATCCAATCCTAGAAGGGGTTAGTTATGGTGCGATTAGCTCAGTCTCTATCTGACCTCAGCACTGAGGGTAGAATCACTAAGTGAATGCCAGTCTCCTCGCTGCTGCAGATACGCCTTACTACTTAGCATCAACAAGCATGAAACCCATGTCCAGCAGGAATTCCTACCAAACGACCTTCATAATCTGGCATTCAACTACACTGCAATACTGAAAACTTAACTTGTTACCTCTAGTTCAAAAGCGATGACATACAGCTCTGAACTTCGGACCCGAGAATATTGGGATCTTTAATAGACGCGTATTTATAAACTCGAAGCAAATCACAAGATGTCTGATACATAAAAGAGACTGTCTACCTTCACCCGTTATACGAAAAACGCAGCTTACTGCATGCATTGGTGGTAGTGTACAAAATTTTTTTCGGCATATCTTGTCGAAAACTACCGATTAGGACACAGAAAATTTATTTATATCCGCCACTAAACTACGTGAAGTGCAGAATCATTATAAAACCTTGAGTATATATACATAAATTTTGCATTACTTCAAGATCAGAGAACACTAACCTAGAGGATTACCATCTTATATCTTATGGTTACAAGTTGCTAACTAAATTTTGTAGAATTTCTGTCTATGCCATTCAAAAGACTATTAACCTCAGCCACTTCACCGATCAAAATTGTTTCATATGTAACTGAGTACTAAGTAAATCCTTAAGACGTCAAATGAAGATACAACTACCCCTCTTCATCAGTGTATTTTCTAAAACAAATGGCCAAAAATGGTAAAATCAGTTACTTCCAGCAGTTAATTTATGCTAATCTTACGTTACCGTAATAACTCCATATTGACTATCATTCTAACTCGTGATTACACCTTTTCCCCATTCGTTTTATAAACATACAACTACACATGGACTCTGAATCAATTTCCTCAGGCCAAATATAATTCTACGTTATATTTGACTTAAAACAGTGGTAAATACTGTATACCGTTCGAACCACAATACATTGCTCACAATCACATTAAGTTAATCATACAAACTTCAAGCCGTGTGTGGTCTGATTTCGACATCTTACAAAGTTGGTTTTGATTGGGTGAGTTCTCTGAGGTAAAATGTTCGTTGTCATTCTAGACAGTAGTATCAGCACAAACTTCAGAAAGAAGTAAGCGAGTTTCGGTTCAGTTGAGGTATGTGGAGCTGTAACATCGAAATACACCATCAGTTCGTCGCTGTCAAAATGAATATGCTTGTTCTTTACCGAAAATAGTGTTGAAGAGTTGATAGAGCGGTGGCATGATCCCAGCAAATGTTTCAATCTTCTGAAAAATTATTTTGAAAGATTGTACGCTGGGGTTCCTGGAAGTAAAACGATTGGTCGTAGTGGGATGTGTGGAGACTGCATAAAATTGTGTATAAACCACTTCAATTAAAAGCAATATTTCATTTTCATCTCTTTTTTACACCTTCTGTACATTCTTCCTAATACTTATAAAAACGAATGTTGTTTATATATACACTTTTTGGTTGTGGTGGTAAATACAGCTTTCCCCGCTGCTAATCTTGGAAATATAATGTGCTACCAACCATTCTGACTTCTTCCGCCGTGACTATCGCCTGTCGTGCATACTAACTGATTGTCTTGGGATTTTACAGGACCTCTCATCCTACTTCCAAATATTACGACAACCAAGCCAACCAACGACCACTACGGAGAGCCAACAAATATCGCCTTCTGATCTCTGGAGTATCCAAAATTGTGGTGGACAATACCGA